GGTGTAATTGAAATACAGTGACTTATGCTAACAATTTAAAATGAAAGTAACCACTTGTCCATGAACCATTAATAAACACACATGGGAGGCAAGAGCAGATAGGCTAGCTGTGCCCAGAGGCCAAAAAAGCCCAAAAACTTAACACTTATGAAGCTGTATAAATATAGGAGCTAAAATAAGTCAGTCTGATACACCGTGGACTCCATGCCCATAGGGATCTGCACTGTTATCCACATTTGACATCTGTCACTGGAGGCAACAACCCCTACCCTTGCCCCATAAGCTGACATCACCAGGGAAGTTGTGGACCCTGAATTATTAATCTCCCAATCTCAATCTCATCTTAATGGTTTGTAACCCTCCCCACCTTACCGGGAATTGAATTTTATGCTTACATTTTTGTGATGTGGATTTCCCCCAATAAATCAGATTGCTATTATCTGTGATTGGCTTGAGTCATAAATGGAACCCCTCAACCCAGGTGGGAGATAGCAAGTTGAGATCTGAACTACAGACTACAAAAATGAAGTAATTGATTCAATATAGTAATAATTAAACCTCATCTTTTCTGTTTAGGTCTCAGGAAAGTAAAAGCACATACATTATATCCCTGAGTGTTATTTATTTTATAGTAGAATTCCCTTCTGACTTGATGTAGTGGCTCATGCTTAGTGGTTCTTAGTGGAAAAAAGTGGGGACAAGGAGGATTATGTCTGAATCCTGACACTGGAGCTTTCGATCAGAGCTGCTGTGTCAGTAAATCATTAAGGCTAATGAGAATGCCACTGGCTTCTGATGGATGACATCATCACCATCACCATCATCACCATCATCACCATCATCACCATCATCACAGCATGGTGATCATGCCTCTGGGTTTGACCACCTTAAGCCTATTGTGCTGCCGTGGTTATTTTATTGATCGATTACTGAGATATAATTGACTTAAAACATTATATTAGTTTCAGAAGTACAATATAGTAATAATGATTTAATATACATATATATTGTGAAATGATCATCACAGTAAATTTAGCTAACAACCATTACCACATATATCAAGAGTTACACAACTTTTCTTCTTGTGATGAGAACATTTATGATCTATTCTCTTAGCAACTTTTAAATATACAATACAGTATTTATTAATTTTGGCCACTATGATTTACATTATATCCCTGAGGGTTATTTATTTTATAGGTAAAATGTGTACCTATAGACCCCCATCACCCACTTTGTTCATCCCCGACCATTGTTTTGGTTATTTATTGCACACATTTTCACTCTTAAAACTGCTCCAATTTGATGATAACTTAAATAGTATCTAAAATTATAGATGATGTTTAGTGAGCATTTACTACATACCAGACACCTAGCAAGAATGTTATTTGTTTTCATTTCATGACAACCTTGTGAAGAAGTAGTCACTCCCTTGGCCACCACTTGACAGATGATGAAATTGAGGCAGGAAGTTTAAGAAATTTGCCCATGGTTACCCAACTTGCAATTGGCAAGCTGGGATTTCATCCTAGGTATCTGGATCCAGAACCCTAGAACTAAAACCCCACACTACCAGCACAGACAATATGGGAGTTCTTGCTCTCCAAACATCAGTTCCATCATAAGATATTTCTATTCCCGGGGAAAAACCCTGGTGGTTTTTACCCTGGAGCCACATATAGAAAATGGGAGTCTAGTTCACTGCAGCCATTTTAATCTTTACTTTGTTGTTCATTTAACCAAATAAATGAATTCCTTTCCTTAGTAGGAGACTAACTCCAGAGCCCTTGATTCAGTTAAATCCCAAGAGTGGGATGAAACAGATCTGAGAAGGCTACAAATTATTCAAGGCTAGCCCACAAGATCATGCCTCCCTGTCACCTGTTAAAAATCCACCATGTGTAGGTAAATCACCTCACACATGCATCTTGCCTGTAATCATCACCCCACCCTGGAGGTGCATTATTATCCCCCTTTCACAGATGAAAAGGCACACTGGGGAACTTAGGTGACTTGTCCACAATCCCTTAGCTAATACCGTTCAATGCTGGGATTTTCAACATGATACCTGACTTCAAAATCCATGACTCGTGGACTTGTCACATCCTATCGACTACAAAGTTTGTGATGAATTAATATGTGAGTAGTAAACATACATAAATATTTTCCCTGCTAGCCAGCACAAAGTTAGACACCTTGCTATTCATTTATTCAGCAAGTATTTGTTGAGTACTTTCTAATTGCCAGGTCTCATGGTTGATGATGGGGAAATAAGGTATTAAGCATGAAGAGATCGTTTCCTTCATGCAGTGGGAGTGTCAGGCACACAAACATATGCTATAATGTGAGAGACACTAGGCGTGAGTGACAGCGCAGCTCCTAATGGGGGAAATGCTCACTGTTCTCTGGGTGTACAGAAAGAGGGGATATGAGCGACAGTGGAAGTATCTCCAAAATGTAGGTCAAAACTAGAGTGTGACCAAAGTTATATATCACATGAGGGTTTTGGGTTATGTTTACAGGAGGATACACAAGATAATTAAGCAGACTACAACATCTATAATTGGGGGAAATGCTGGGGTCAGTGAAGAAGGTAAACAGAAGCAGAAATCTCATAGGTAGACACCAATTAAGAGGTTACTGGAGAGGTTTGCTGTAGAGGTGACCAGTGCTTATAAGAACTGAAAATGAGATGAAATTCAGTGTCATTTCACTGAAACGCAGATTTCTATTTAGGGTTAGATTTGGCATTAGGTGCAAAGGGCCTGGACTAATTCCTAGATTTCTGACATCTGTTCAGAAATGTGGTGCCCTGGGGCTTCCCTGGTGGTGCAAGGTGTTAAGCACAGCACTGTGAAGCTATCTGCAGCCTCTGTAGCACAAGTTCGATCCCCAGCCAGGGAGTTACCCACATGATGCAGCAGACCTCTCCTGTCTCGCCCACTGCTCCCCTCATCAGTGTATGTCAGTAGGTCTGCCTGTTCTGCTCCCCACTCTGTCTCTGGTGAATTCTCTCACTGCACTTCCCCTGCCCTGCCCCCGCACCTCTGGCCTACACCCCAGTTCTTGTATGCATAAATAAATAAATCTTTTTTAAAAAAAGAAATGTGGTGCCCCTTACTATGATAAGGAAGAACATATGTTTTGCTTTCATCAGGAGCTAGTAAGAGAGGCAGTTGCTGGAGGAGTGGACTGGAAATCATTGCCAAGGAGGTGGTATTTGAAAGTGTAGAAGGAAAAAAAAAAGCTTTCATCCTGGTTTTGATTAGTGAACATTACAACTTGACTGCTAATTGGTAGTCAAAGATGGCCTGTGTTTGGGTAGCTTGCATGAGCCTGTCATATTATTCACGACTCCTTCAGGGATTAACTTCAGTGCAGAAAATTAGGTTTGCTTTGCAGATATATTTCATAGTTGACAGTTTTTACAGGATGTGTGTAGAACCCAAGTGGTCTCAGGCTGTGGTCCAGTTCCAGTTCCAAACCACTGCCAGATGAGACTCTGAACTACAACAAAGTCAGGGAGAGAGAAACAACACGGCCCAGGAGTTGTGTCCATCCCATGTGCTTATACCTCTGAACTGAACTTCTAAGAATCAGCCAATTTTCTAGAAAGTGCATTTAAACTTGGGAAGGCAGCTGATGAGCTGGCCCTGCTGATAGTGCTGCTGAACCACGGGACTCACCAACTGGCTATGGAGTATTGGCACACACTCCTTTGGGGCTTCACAAGACAGAAAAGCAGGTGGTCTTGAAACTATGGCATCTCCACCTGCTAACAGGCCATGACTCCAAAGAACAAGTGGAGGTGATCTCATGTGAGCCCCCACGTCAGAGGTGGCTTGGCAGAGGGGTTACACAACTAACTCAACCTAACGCCCTGGATCCCGGACCCACAGTTTATTATCTCTGGGATTGGGGCAACTATCATAAATGCTCTGTGCCCACATTTTCCCATCCTAAAAAAGCACACAGGGCCAATAGTTGTACTGAACTGATAAGATTCAGCCTGATAATCTATGCAAAGTGCTTAGAATAATGCATAACACATTGTAAAGACTAGATAAAAATTAGCCATCTCTTTTTATAATAAGTTTGGGCTTATTTGCTGCTCAATCCTGGTCTGCCATATTTTTCAGGTTATTCTTTCTGAAAATTACACAATATCCATGACCCTGGACTCTTTATACTCTGCCTTCACATTTTCTGTACAGATGTGCCTATAGGACAATCAGGACTTCTGTTGTGTGAGGATTTCGAAATGACAGGTCAGTGTATTCATTTTCCCAAAGTACTTTAGTTTGGTAATTCCTCTATCACTGGAAGAAGATTAGAACTTGACATGATAAGAAAGTTAGATCAACAAAAACCTTCGATCCAGAAGATAGGATAAGACAGAAAGTCACAGACTTCTATGGGCTGGACATATAACAAGGCGGACTTCTAGCAAAATGCCTGCTGATGACTCAGTTTATCTGTAAAAGATGAATCAAGCGGAGGCGCATAGTGAAAGAAATGGATTAATAGTGTTGAAGATTAGATAGGAAGGAAAGGCATTACGGGGGAGATTGTCATGGTTAATAAGAATAAGCAACAGAATGACCACAGTCTGAATAATCTCATCCGACCATTTGGTTGATGTGCTGCTTATGGGAAAACATTGAAAAGCAAAGAAAAAAAGAGTCAAAGGACATACAAATCCACATGTCTGGCTTTCAATCTTCCCTTGACAAAATGTGGGGGTTGAACTAAATGACCTCTATGGCTCCTTCCAGTGCCATTGTGTGTAGCTATACAGTTCCACCGTGCAGAAAAAGCAGGGGAAGTCCAGTTTTATATATGCACATGCATGCACACACATGCATGCACACATGTGCATACACAGTGCACACACATGCATGCACACATGCATTCACACATGCATGCACTTGTGCACATACATACACAAGCATGTGCATACACATACACAGTGTTCTGGCACAAAAGTCACAGCTACTTACTGTTTTCCCAATTGTTAGATTTTAATTTCATCTCTTATGTGTGCCAGTGACCCTGTACTTTTATCCTTCTCTGTTTTCTCAGCAGCTACGGTTTTAGTGAGTAGGAGCCACAGGCGGTCAGACCTTTCCCACCGTTGCTCTTATTGTTGTCCCCTGTTTGTTTCACTGTAGCTGTCAGAGGGAAGCTCTGTAAATGAAATGAGACAGGGTGCTTATCTCTAGAGGCAGGTAGGAAGTGGGAAATGTGGGGAGAAGAGGTAACCTGCAGCCAAGTTAATACAGGAATAGCACCTTCCAGAAAGAATGGTGGTTTTGGTTACTAGAAAGGATTAAAAATATATCTAATTTCCATTATTTGCTTCTTTCTACTGATTTTCTGATTTATTTGTTCTTTTTCCATAGTATTCTACAGTATTCTACAGTTAATTAAGCTGTAGAACTAGGTTATTTGGCATTACCCTTGTTTTGTTTTTGTTTCTGTGGGCCTGTGTTACTACGAACTTCCTTTGCAGCGCTGCTTTTAGAGTACCCCATAGGATCTGGTAGCTGGTCTCTCCATTTTGGATGGTTTCACTGATCTGTGGGATATAAATAACAAAAAAAAAAAACTTATGCTGGCAAAACACTGCAAAAAAATTTTTAGAATTAGTGGAAAATATATTGAGAAATAGAGCAAATGGGAGTGGTGATCAGGGAAAGGCAGGAATAGGGTATGGCATGGGAGGTTGGTGGAGGTTGAAACATATGCATGTTTGAATGTGTGAAAATGTAACCCCAAAGTTATATAGACATGTAAACAACCAACAAATGAACATAAAAATATAATTTGTTGAGATTAATTTTTTAGAAAGCTCTATGCAAAGATCTAAGAGTTACAATAAAAAATAGGGCATGACTACATTTTATCAAATGCTTTTGTGGCATCTATTCAGATAATATCCTTTCTTTAACTTTATAGTATTGGGAATTGTACTACTTTTTCTAATATTGAAGATATCTTAAATTTCTTGGGTTATGCCCATTTGATATGGTGTGTTATTATTTTAATATTCTGCTGGAATCTGTTTATTGGTGCTTAATTTCTATTTTTGCATCAATATGTGGGATTATCTATACCTTCCCTTGTTACAAAGCCAATTTTATTATTAGCTCTATAAAGAGAACTTGAACACCGTCTTTCTTTATACTCTTAAAATCTTAAGTAAAAAAGACTTCATGAAGACTTGAAATTATTCAACTCTAAAACAAACTAGATTAGCACATTTTGGTGTGTGGGGAGGGAGTGGAAACTCTGACAATATCTTCTATTTCTTTTATGTTTACTGATGTGTTTATTAATGTTTGGTATCATTTTTGTTCATTGGTATTTTTCTAGATGTTGCTACATTGAATACAAATTTCAAAACTCAGCATGGATTTATTCAAAGCATTTTCTCACAATTCTTTTTTATTTTCTAAGCATGTGGGAATGAATCACCCAATATTACTCTTAATTTTAGTCACTTGCAACTTTTCTTTTTATCTTTTTGTCAGGCTAGCTAATGATTTGTTTTTTCCCACTTTGAGGTATGGCATGTAAATTCAAGGTGCAAATGTATTGTGATGACGATTAGGTACATATTTATATTATAAAATGACTGCATAATAAGGTTAGTTAACATAACTAGTGACTTATTAACTTTCTCTTTTTTCTTATATAAGTAATTATTTGACTTACTGCATACAAGATATAGCATGATGAAATCCAGTCAAATTTGCACCAATAATTGGAACAAGTCTCCTCCAGGTGTGAGATTAGGAGACTAACCTGTTCAGTTTGGGCACAAATGGTATCAGTGGGAAAATAAGCATTCCGGGCTTAGCTATTTTTTTCCAAAACTGCATGGGGAAATAAGAATGTCTGCCTTAGACCTGAGTATGGAATTGTGGCTGCTTATGAAGTGTAGGTTTAAGGGCAAAAATCACTTTAAAATCTAATTTCTTTCCTATTTTCTCTCCCTTGCTCAGTCATCATCTCTCCATCTTTCTTGGCTACGCTATTCCTCTTTTCATGCATTTAGTCAATTGGAGTTAGAAGGAAAATTTGCAATCAGCTATTTTACAGAATACGTAGATACTTCTAAAATATATTCAGCTTGAAAATTCTGTATAATTGATGATGAAAGGAAGCTTCAAACAAAGTGCACAGTGGGTGAGGGTGAAGAGCAGTGAATATGAAGCATTTAGAAATTTGAAATGACAACAATTTGAGAAGCGAGTTTTAACCTTCAGAAAAAGAACACAAGAAACCGAATGATGAAAATTATATAATTTTTTGTTGCTGTAAATACCAAGGTCAAAACTTAACAATATTCCTGAAACAAGGCTCTTGTAGAGACATGAAAGGAGTTAGTCTCTTGTTCAAGTCAAGCCCGCAGGATTTTATTTTTTGCATTAGCAGTGAAGTTTGATTTTAACAAGCAAGCCCTGACCTTCTAACATTTACTTTATGTACACAGAAGTATTGTTTTTTAATCCTTTTTCTATCTCACCAAAGTTATTTAGATGCAAATAAGCCCAATTTCCTAGAAAAGTCCACCATTACCTACTAAGTTTGGAGTCCACGTGGTATATTATGACTTACAAACATGTATTACCCTCTGGCCTATCTCAAGGGTCATTGTAGCTAATCTAGAGTTTTAAAAATCTGGTAGCCATGGAAGCTACAGGCCGAATTTGCCACAGCATCCTGCATCAGGACCAGGTATCCATTTAATAGTAAACAGCACTGAATGCCTGAAGATCATTTGAGGTTCTCTTGATCTAATTCTTTGCTTTGATTTGGGATGGATTTCATTGTAGGCACTGCAGATTTGTTTACATGGTATCAGTGGTTTGCAGATAAATATGCAAGAAACTCCATCATTTTGTATACTTGACCCACAGACCCTTTTGTCTTATCCCTGAATCATCTAACCCATGTGTGAGGAACAGAGCGCAGAGTCAGATGCAAGCAGTGAGAAGAATTTCTCAAGCATTTAGTTTCCAGGATCTTATTCAAGTCTCTTCCTGGCTTTCTGATAGATGGCGTGATGGGATTGATAGGCACTGATCTCAGTTTCACAATGTTGACAATAATACTATGAATACAGATGCTACTGCTTTGTAAAACTTGACTAATTCCAGGACCTTCACAAAGCTTTTTACGTATACACTTGGGGGTCTCTCCCATATCACACCCCCTCACAGCAAATGCATGACTACAGGCCTGAATCAAATATTCCAAACAGTGACTTGATTGGGACTTAAGTTCCATCTCAAACTCTCACTTTGCCCCGTGGCAGAAAAATCTTGTCTAGTTACTTCTAGGTATGCTCACCCTGTTCAGGACTGAAATGTAAGCTTTTGCTCCTCCTTTCTTCCCTGAGTGACATCTCTCCCCAGAGACTATTAGGCATCACAGCATTGGACAATATTAATGTTTTAGGAACTGGTGTCTCCATCTTCTTCTTCGATATTTTTATTTATATTTCTTTTAAAATATTTTTTGAGTATTTTTAAGCATTTACTTTTCTATGTGATATTTGGAAATAGCTATTAATTAGTTTCAAATTTTCTGCTGGCCCCTTACATGGGATTGTCATAAATTTATAGCTGAATTAAGGGAGAATGGTTCTCTTTACAATAATGAGGCTCTCTCTATAAAAAGAGGGCATGTCTTTGTATCCAGCCCAAATAGGTCATGCCCTTGGGAGAAACATAAGGTCTCTATACTTTGCACACATTCACACTCATGCACATACGTCCCTGAACTTAGCATGTTGTAATGGAATTTTCTCTTGCCATTTCCTTCTATAGATTTTTAGTTCTTTAAGGGCAACTCTTGATTGTATTATTGTGTTATGCTGTGTTAATGCCCAGAACTGCGGACAGTGTTAGCATTTAGTGAACAGTCAATAAATAAATGGATGAAGTCACCACAATTAATTGTGCATTTTCATTGACCCTTCCAGTAACTGAGTATGAGGAAGTACAGGGGACAGCAGCTTGTGATTAATTCCCAGACCTCGGCTCTCAAAACCAAGTATTGTTCTAGCTCCTCCTGTCACTCACCTCGCTGCTTCCCACCAAACTGAAAGGTCGAACCAACCATCAGAAAGACAGGCGACACTCATTTCTGTCTGTGAATGAAAATTTCATCAGTGCTACAAGGAGGGCCCATCAATATTCCCTTTCCTTTAAGGGACGGACAAATTGACTGCAGAGAAGGGCTCTTTAGTGCCTAAGTTTTTTTATAACAAAGATATAGAGACTTTACACAACGTCCTCAGCTCATTCTTCTTTGGTCTGTGGTGGGAGAATGGGGATCCTCTGCTCAAACAGCTCTTTGGAGGAAAGGATAGAAGTTCCAGCATTTTAATGTGCCCAGCTGCATTCGAAGCTGGAAGCGGGCCTGTTCTCAGGATTGGGGGCTCTTGTGGGAAATGCCTCTGGTGCACTTTACTGCCCGTCCCTGTACAGCACAGCCCAGGGGCACCCCGGCCTCCCCAGCTACAGGGTCTGGATCATGAGAGACCAGCGAGCTCACTAGTGAAGGGGGAGAGAAGCACGCGCAAGGGTTCCAGACCAACGCAAGTCTCTTGAATCTCTGCCTTCCGAAGTGATGTCACAATAGAAGAATGAAAATTGACCCTTGGCTGGGGGCCTCCCTGGTGGCGCAGGGGTTAATTCTCAGCACTACGAAGCTGCAACATAAGTTCAATCCCCAGCCAGGGAGCAAACCCACACACGGTGCAGCAGACCTCTCCTGTCTCACCTGCTGCTCCCCTCAGCAGTGGATTTCATAAATCCACCTGTTTTGCTCCCCACTCTGTCTCTGGTGAATCCACTCACCTCCCCACACCTCTGGCCTACACCCCTGGCATCTTGCATGCATAAATAAAGAAAATAAAAATTAAAAAAAAAAAAAGAAAATTGACCCTTGGTCCTGCTGGGGGAAAAATTTGGGGGGGATGGCCGCTGCTTCCAACTGAAGCAAAGTTGAAACACCAGAGCCTTCCAAAAGTGTTGGGCTGACCACACACACATAGGGAAACATCACAGTGTATTTTCTGTTGAATCGTTGCGACAGATGTTGATCATTACATAGGCTCTTGTTCCTCCTCTAATTTATCTATCACGAAATTGAGACCAGAACAGTTGAGATGACTCGTCAGTAGTTGCATAGAGAGACCTGGCATGGGAACTTGAGTCTTCAAGCAAATAGCCTAAGGTTCCTTCCACTTTCTCCCATTACCATTATTTAATCCTGACATACCTTACATTTGCATGCGGTTTTTAATTCAAAGATATTTCCTGTGAGATTAGGTACAAATAGAACCACGCGTCAAAGCTAACTATAAATCTACTTTCCAAAAACTTAGCATTTCTCTAGAATGCTTTTGCAAAATGCATTTTAACATACTTTTCTGGCTTAAAGTAATTTATGTCAGGTCATGGAGAGATAGCAACTGTTGGTTCACATTATTATTATCTTAGAGAAATTCAGGCTATTATCTCTCATTTTATGTCTGGCATAGGTGTACAGTTATAAAAATCACAATTTTCACTCTTTCTAAACCATGCAACATGTGTGGAAAGTATCTCTTTGGCACTTATGATGGTGATAACACACCTTTTCTTTTCAACCACATTCATAACATTTTTGACAAATTTAGGATAGTCTGACAATTCTTTCCTGGCCGCTTTTGGTGCCTGGCCATAAAAGATTTGACAATGGGATCTAAATCATATAGTAAAACATTCCATAATGAACGTGCTTGCAAAAATTGAGCTCCAGTTTGCATTCCCCAAGCGGTAAACACTGAACTTAATAATGGATGCAAATATAAAGGGCAGTTGCTCATCAGTTTCACTTATGCATTTAGGGTCTATTTATTCATAATTATGCATTTATCCATTTCAGTGTGTCAGATTCCAAGCTAGGAATAAGGATTCAGTGGTAAATAAAATAGACATGATCTCTATCTTGAAGTTCATAGCACAGCAAGCTGCTTAAGAGTGAATAACCAGGAACAAAGAGAAGGCTTCTTGAAAACTTGAAGGATGGGCAAGAATCAGATAAGAAAGAGAGGGAGGATTCAGAAGAGAGTGAAGCAAGGTAGAGCAAAAAAATTGTTTTTATTTCCTCTATTTGAAGGGAGGAAATAGTGCTCCCTCCCCTTGTGCTCAATGGTTACGTAAGGTGACTTTGGCTACCTAAGGTCAACAGGAACTGTCCTTCCATGACACCTAACTTCTGCTCCCCAGAGGAAAGATGCTCACTCTCTCATGCTCACAGCTCAGTTAATTTCCTCTTCCTGTTGAGCCATTATATTCGTTCTCCTGCTCCTCTTTCTGCTCTCCCTCCTTTTCCTCCTTCCATACAGACAAGTAAGAGGATAAAATGTTTAAAATGATTTTAAAACTTCAAATAGTACAAAATTATGAAAAGCAAAAAGTGAATCACTTTTCCATCTACCACCTCTCACATTTTTTTCCTGAAGTAATCCTTTCACCTTCTAAAAACATATAGGAAATGTATACTACTTGATATATCAAAATATATATAGTGCAAGTCTTTAGTATGAAGTACATTAATTTAAAAATCCTATGAAACCCACCACTCAAAACAAGAAATAGAATTACGGCCATATCATCCCTTTCCCCAATCCAGAAGTCATCATACTCTTGAGTTTTGTATTATTTCCTTGCTTGTCTTTATTGACTTTATGAGACAATAATGAATACATCTTTAAATTTTCATTGTTTTGAGATTTATAAAATGATATCTACCTTTGTACTGTCTTCTGTTACTTGTTTTTCTACTTGACATTATATTTCTAAGATTCAGCCATGCCATATGAGTAGTTGTGACTTTTCAATCTCTCTGCTGTATGGTATTCCACAAGGGAATATATCATAATTTATTTGTTTTCCTGTCAATGAACATTTGCATGCTGTGTCCTTTTCACTCCACCCAACCATCTGTGCAGCTATGCATCCTCATACATCTGTCTGTCTGTCCATCCATTTGTCCATCCCTTCATCCTTACAAATAAGGCTGCTATGAACATTCTAATACATTTCTCCCGGCACATGCATTTTCTCAAGGTATACGCCCATTTCTAGGATTGGAGCAGAGTCATAAATACATGCCTAGTCAACCTTAAAAAAATAATGCTAGCTTGTTTTCCAAAACATTTTGAATCTTTATACCTTTTGCTGTACTGCTTCCTCACCAATACTAGTATTGTTGATTTTTTATTTTTGAAAACCCAGCCAATATAACATTGTATTTTCTCATGTCCTTAATTTTCCTCATCATAAATAAGAATGAGTTGTTTTGTGCTTGTTCAGAAACTTTAAAGTTCTTCATATATTCCAGATATTTTTTACTTTTTGATAAACATGCTGTAAATAGCTATTTTCTCCCCACCTCCAACTAGTGGTTTATATTTCAATTTCTTTATATTTATAAATGAATAGAATTTCTTAACTTTTTTCTTAATATAAAGAATACACTCTACAAATGTTGCCTTATTATGATTAGAACTTTTCCTTTATTTTAAAACAACTCTTTCTGCTTCCTTAGCTCACATATTCCATATTTTATCCCCAAAACATAAAATGTTAATTTATATAGAATGATTTTTGTGCCTGGCATAGAGATCCAATTTCCTAGTCGTTTATCAATCCACGCTATTTGTTGACTAGTTTAGTTCCTACTTTCTTCCACTTATCTGCATTAGTCATCAAGTTTCCATATAGGTGTGAAGTTGTATCTGGGCTCTTTCTTCAGTTGAATTAATCATTCTTTTCTGCCTCTGTCCTATTCCATACAGACAATGACTTTATTATTATAAGTCTTTATGTCTGGTATGGAAATTCCCCCTCATTGCTCTTCGGAGTATCTTGACTGTTCTTGACCCTTTGTTATTCTGCATCAATTTAAGGATCAGCTTGTCCTAGTCCTCAAATAATTCTGCTGGAATTTTAATTGACATTGCTTTGAATTTATAGATCAACTTAGAAAAAAATGCTATCTTTACAATCTTGAACTCTTCTTATCCAAGAATATTATATATTCTCCCAGATTTGCTCCATCTCCTATTATTGGAAGTAATGTGGCAGCTTTTAAAATTAGGCTTTCTAATTAGTTACTAAGTTATTAAAAGGCATTTAGACTAGATCAGGGGCACTCAGAGTGGTAAGGCTGCAGACTGGAAGGTTTAACCTTATAATCAGTCGCTTTCATTAATGTTCTTATTAGTTCTAACAATTTGTGAATTCTTTTGAATTTTCTATGCATAGAATTATATCATTAGCAAATGAGTGTTTTATTTTAATCTTTTAAACTTTTATTTCTTGTCTTAGAGTTTGCAGTCAGTGTTGATCGTTGGGTTGAAGCAAGAATAATTAGCTTCCTTGTCTTATTTCTTATTTTAAAGATGTTTTAAATAGTCTGCCATTGTGAAATGGCAGGTCTATTGTAAGATAAGAATGTTTCTCATATTCATATTTTACTGTTTCCTCCCCCTACAAATGAACTGGTTATTTTCAAGACTAATGGGCGTCATTTCAATAATGAAATTTCCATGTCAAGTCAATTGTACATTTTGGGGATAAACTCAGTTTGTTCATGGTATATTTGCATCATGTAGGATTTTTATTTATATATGTTTTATTTATATGTATTTTACATCATTGTTCAATTTTGTGCAATATTTGTTTTCTCAGATGTAGTCCCCATAAAATTCCCATCACCAGTTCACCTGTGCACCATCACCATAGTCCCTTGTGCTCTTCCCTCCCTTGTTTTCACCTTTCCCTCCTTCTTCCCTACAGAATGTCTCTGATTGATAGTTGCCTGTTAATTTTGGGTTTTTATTTATTTTTTTTCCTGACCCCTTATTTGTTTTCCCTAACCTTCCAAAAACTATCAACTCATGGCCAGTTATGTTTCAACTACACCCTTTTCTCACCCCAAACATTTTAGAGAATATCATGAACATTATTTAATGAATATTTGGGTATATTTTTCTACAATATCAAGAAATATCAATATCTTTAATTATCCAGTGTTCGAAGTTTCTGATTGTCTTATAACTTACTTTTTGCAGTGTGTTTATTTAAACCAGAATCCAATTAAGTTCATCCACTGTAATTGATATTATGCCTCCCCCTGCCTCTTTTATTTTTTTCCTTGCAGTAAATTTAGAGAAACCAGATGGCTTGCTTGGTAGAATGTTCTACAATCTGGATTGTGCTAGCTGGTCACTGTGGTATCGTGTCTTCCTCTGTTGTTTATATACTGAATTGGTAGTTGAAGCTGTTGGTTTGATCACACTATGCTGAATTTATGGCAACAAGACTTCTCGGGTAGTGGGGTGTCCTTCTTTTGCAAAGAAGGTCTGTTTTCTCTCTTTCTGTTGGGTCACCTCCCTGGCCGGGGTTCAAACTCGTGCTGCAGTGGCTGCAGATTGCTTCATAGTGCTGATGCTTAACCCCTGAGCCACCAGGGAGGCCCCTCTTTCTGTGTTACAAAACTTTCTGTGTTGATGACTATTACCAATGCTCAGTCATTCATTAGGACGGGCAGGTAATTTCAGT